AAATACATTTAATGAACTATAAATATCCTGCACCTTCTGTTATGATTTCCACCACTCAAAGTTGCCAGTGTTCTGGCCGAATGCTTAGCCACCCCAAGCACTGACACTTCCGAGTTTCATGGCCACACATGAACCATCAAGTATTCAGGAAACTTACACAGCCACCCAGAGTCCTCAAGCTGTTCATGATGTACATGTGGCTTGGTCAAATGATCTATACATTGGCACTACAACGTAAGCCCTTGTGTGCATGAGCTAGATGGCCTTTACAAGCTAGACATGCCTTTCGCCATGTTCTCTTCCTCCACCATGTTTCAGAGAGACCTGAGCACCCACCCTCTTACCACTGTCTTCTCTGTAAAGCTATAAATTCCTTTCCTTCCTTCCTTCCTTCCTTCCTTCCTTCCTTCCTTCCTTTCTTTTTTTCTGTTGTTTTTTTCAGACAGGGTTTCCCTGTATAACTTTGGTGCCTGTCCTGAAACTAGCTCTTGTAGTCCATGCTGGCCCTGAACTCACAGAGATCCAGAGATCCGTCTGCTCTGCCTCCCTAGTGCTGTGCTGATAAACTCTTAAATTGGGTTCTGTTGTATGCCTTGTGATCTGCCCTTACAACTGGTAATTTCAACCTCCCTTTGAAACAATGTCATGTATCTCAGGGTTTTACAAAACTAGCAATGTTTCTGAAATGGACCTTGAATGTTTGATCACTTTACCTTTACCTCTTCAGTGTAAGGAATATAGGAGTACCAATTATACCTAGTTTATGGGGTGCTGGGGATAAAAGAGAGGCTCCCATGCCACCCTAAGCAAGCCTATGTCCACATCTTCATCCCTAGAAACATAGAAATAGATATGCTTTACCAAGGTAAGAATGTAGATGTTTGGATTTATTTGATCTTTTCTACTATTTTTTAGTTAATAATTAAAATTCAATTAATTTAAAATCAAATATTATATAACCTGAAGTTTTTATATATCCACAATTTGGTGTCAATAGCATTCACACTAAAAATCCCTGCTGCTCTAGAAAACGTTGAAGAAGTCCTAGAAGTTACGAAACTTAGTTCACATGTATTATCTGTTTTTTTTTAACTAAATTTTGCTCAGTAATAAAATATTACTTGCTTGCTAAAGAAATTCTTTTAAATTATACAGCAAATTTTCAACTTATTAGCACATTTGTAATAAATATTTACAGATGTTGCTGTTTTATTTTCCTGGGTCCTGGGTTTGCTACTTTTGGACTGTGCAGGACACAGTTCTCACCAGTCACCAACCCTTGCACTGAGTGTTTGAGTATGTGGGTTTCTATCTCTATGAATGGGAGTGCTTTGACACCTCACTATTTAATCATTTGTGTTCAACTGTCTCTGTTCTGTCTTCTTCTGTACTTATAACCATAATTTTTCAAATGTTTGCTGATGATTTCTAGTTCAGTATTGAAATTTTCTAACAAATGGGTTGAAACAGCTCATGTTAACCATTTAATTTTTATGTTAAGAAAAGTATTATTGACAGTACCTCATGGATATCCATTCAATTGTAAGAGTTCTCAGAAAATGACAAAAATATAGTTTTACAAGCAGTGATAGTATGAATAGTTTTCTAGAAACAAACCACAGATGGTGAATGCAGTCACAATTTTGATTTCTTGCATATGAAAACCTTGTTTTCACCAACTTAAATGTTGGCAAACCAATGATGTTCAGCTACAATCTGCTAAATTTTAGATGCACATTTTTGGTTCCATTAGAATACTCTATCTTGCTTGCATATTAGTGTGGTTGCTTTATTATAAGAAGCATTAATGAAGAGACTTTTAGAGTTTCCATTGTGGAGGGGTCTTTATTTCTTTCTTTGTATATTTGAATGACTCATAACAATGACTAGGTTTCTGTGATATTTAGTTATCCTTTAGAAGATTCTGAAAAATTAGCTGGAAGTTAAAAATTATCAGTAAACCCTCAAGAATTTACTGGGAATTTATTTAGCAGTCAAAAGCTTTCACTGCTCTAATTTTTTATTGTCTTGTCCATTTCTTCTGCCTTCTCTACAAGACCTGAAATGATCTCTCCCTCTTCCTTTGACTCTTGGAGAGGTCTCCACTTAGCTTTTCTATCTTACTTCCTGAGTTTTTTATTTCAAATTTATTTCAATTTTCCTTTTCTTTAAGTTTTCATTTCTTTATCCAGTTATATTTTCATGTATTGAATTGTTTTCCTTATCTTATTCAACTCTGTTTTTTTACAAAGTCTTCATTGAAGTTTTGTGTACAACCTCTTTGAAGTTTCTGACAATGTTCATAGTTTCTATTTTGGAATCCTTGTCTTATGCTTCAGCTAAATTAGTTTTCTAGAGAAATTTAAAACAGTGGTCCTGGTTTCTAAGAAGGCATGTTTCCTTATTTGTTTGTTTTTGTACTTGTATCTTTGTATTTGAAATTAAAATATTTTTGCTATTTCTTGGTGTTGTATGGGTGTTCAGTTCCTTGATAGTTATTATTCAGCCTGAAGGGTTGCATATTAGTAGAATGGTGTTTAGTTTTCAGTCTTGGGGTAACTCTGGAGTTTTAATGTTTAGATTCCAACTGGTCACATCTCTAGGTTCATATTTCTAGCATTCCCAGATCAGTTAATTGTGTGGTAGTGGTTGTAAGATAATCATAGGGATTGAATATTGGGGTTTCTTAAGTAGTGGTTGGGATCCACTTCACAAGGTCAGAATAAGGCCTACTACAGATGACAGTAAATCGAGGAAATAGGATGGCCTTGGAGAAGAGGCTGAAGTGGGCAGCTAAGAAAGGATTATTGTACCCTAGGAGGACTAGAATGGGGGAAAGGAAGGAGGGAATTGGTCTCCATCAAATGTAACTGCTGGGACTCTAGGAAAAAGGTTATCTCACTAGAGGAGTAGTTACAAAGGAATGGGTAGAATGGCTGAGGAAGGTAGCAAATGAAGAACTCTGTGTCTGTAGCAGGAGTGGCAGCTGAGTACCAAGGAGGGGGGGGGTGTAGGTTGGGAGGATGAATTGAGGAACTGGCAGTCGGGTGTATAAGAATAATTAATGAGATCAAAATGACGTAGTGGAAAGAGAGTACAGGCAGCCTCACTGGGTCCTCACTAAGGATGGCAGGTGTCGCTAATGTAAAACTCTTAACAATACCAAACTATTGATCACAGTTTTATTAAGCAGGATTAGGTAAAATAGACATATTCATTGTTTATCTGTGGCTTAAATATGACACAATGCAAAACACATGGAGAATTGTTTTGTGCTTTATTTCTTATGCAGATTTTATTTAACTATTTCAAATAGCCACATTTAAAAATTAATCAAATAAAATGAACATGCCCATATATAAACATCATATATTTCAACAATCTCCCATTCACACTGTGGAACAAAGAATTCTACAATGTAGATGGAAGTTTCTGTCCCTCTAGGTCCCATAGCTGTTCATTCCCAAAGAAACACACAGAGACTTATATTGATTATAAACTGCTTGACCTATTAGCTTAGGCTTATTATTTACTCGCTCTTACAACTTAAATTGACCCATCATTCTTGTGTATGTTTAGTTATGTAACTTGGTACCTTTTCTCAATGAGGCATTTTCATCTTGATTCCTCTGCTTCTCTTTGGTGACTGCATCTCTTTCTTTTCTCTTCCCAAAATTCTCCTAGTCTGGTTAACCCACTTACACTTCCTGCCTGATTACCAACCAAACAGTGTTTTATTAAACAGATAGGGGTGAAAAATCTTTAAAGTGTACAAGAGCATTCTCCCACAGCATTTTTTTTTTCGACACAAGAATTCTGAATCTAGTCTTCTTTCTTTAGTTTTTTTTTTTTTTTTGACCATTGTCTATAAAAACTTGTAACCAACACTCTAATCAAAGACAAACATCCACAATCCTTTTTTTTGGGGGGTGGGGTGGGGGGTGGGGGAGAATGTAGGTGTAGTTTTGTAGGCTACTTCCTGCTTATTGGGGCACTGATAATCTTGTGGGGACCCAAAGAAAATTTAAGATTATGGTAAATCCTGACTGGATTTTCCTGTGAAGCTGGATCATCTCAGCCACTAGCCTTCAAGCTGTTCTAGATACAAAACTCAGAAGAAGCTCTAACCCTGCAATAAGGGCTCATTAAGATGTGTTTTGAAGGCTTATTTGTAAGTGTAATAATGAGCGGCCAAAGGGCTTTTGAGCTCAGATCTTTGGAATGAATAAAAAGTTCAGAAATATTATGATGACCTGATTGTTAAGATGAAACTGTTTGCTTCGATGATTTTCCCATGTATATAAATAAAACCAAGTTGAATTCATTTTTATTTTTTTTTTTTTTTTTTTTTTTTGTTTTTATTTTTTTTTGATTTTTTTTTTTGTTTTTTTTTTTTGATTTTTTTTTTTTGTTTTTTTTTTTTTGTTTTTTTTTTTTGAATTCATTTTTAAAGTGAGATATTTTCAGTAATTACAGCTAAAAGATTGTCAACCTTTTACATAATGCGCCTTCAATACATTTTGTGCACTTTTAGTATATTCAGTCAAGAGTTTGAATAAAACATTTAGCATACAGTCACTAATGAGATCATGTAAATGACTTATCTCATAATAGTCCTATGTATTAATTTTTTTATTCTACCTCCTCTATGACTCAATTCACATCCTCCAGCACCTGTCTCTCAATAAGTCCTTTTACTTTTGAGAATAGACATATTTTTACTCAATATCCTCTCAATGGCTGAAAATCAAAACCAAAGGTTTTGAACAAATAAAGTTTTTAAAACTATACTTTAGAGGAATATGTTGATTGAAATTGGACTACTATTGCTTTATACAAATATTTTTCAGTATCATATCATTGTTATAATACTTGTTAAAGTAGAATTTAAAAGTTATTCAAATTATAAATTTGCAGATATTTTACTGCTGTTAACATTTTGTCTTAAAATTTGTATAGCAGAAATTACGTTTTTTTATAATTGTATTTCGCTTTTTCAGGTACCTCAAACATCAACTATTCATGATGTCAAACAAAAATTTCACAAAGTGTGTAAGTATTTTTATCTATGAAAATTTATGTCAATTTATTTTCAAATTGGCTCAAATTGTCTTTAATAGAATGGTTTGTCTATGGAACCATTGTCTATGAAAGCCATGTTTTGAAACAGATATCATTAATATTCTCTACTTAGTAATTCTTGAATAAAATAATTCTCTCACTTCACACTCTTATTGGTGTTTTAATATCCAACAGATTTTCGTCAGTACTGGGGAAGGTGCTTCTCCATATGTTCAGGAGCCATGTGCTTAGCCACTAAATTGTATTCCACGAACAATCCAACTTGAGGTTTAATATAATGCCTTATGGTTTAATATATTTCAATAGATTTCTGTCCTTGTATTCACCTTTAAGATGTATATTTAGTCATTTTTTTATTCAAGAGAACCAGGTGAGTTGGGAAAATATTTTAATTCATGATTTATTATGTTGAGCTGTTAGATAAAGTTTGAGGGTAAAACCAATTGGTAAATTATTTTAGAAAAAATAGAAAATATTTATTGATGTACAAATTCATATATAATAATTCTCTGGTATAGCTATATAACAATGTATGGAATAGCAAAGTGGCAATGTAAGCAGTAACATCCTATGTATAAAAGACCTATATAGACTATTCACTATGCATTTTAAGGAACAAAATATGTAACAAGGAACAGCAATTAGTTAATACAGCCAAAATATGCAAATGTGTTTTTGGGATTTCCTTAAAATGTGTTGTTGAGAAGCATATACAATGAGGAACATGATTATTGAAAAACTTTAGCATCTAAGTTGCTTTGGGAAGGCAAGTTCTGATGTTTTGCCTTATAGACATTAGGTTTGAATATGCTGAAAGGAGTGGATAGGCCATTCTGCCAAATCCAAGAACAAAGTAAGGTATGTTCCCATAGCTTTCCGAGATTCATTGTTATAGCACTAAATTGAGAGTGAAAGTCTCTGTCATTGTGTGTCAATGTTTTTGTAAAACATGAAATTTCTTAAGCATTTATCTTTTAAACCATGAAATTTTTTCAATATCAGATGTGCTAGTACGTGCCTGTAAATCCTGCCTGTAAGGTTAATGAACTTGTGACTCTTAAATTCTAAGCTACATTGTAAGAAAGTAGAGAAAAATTATTTTTTATCTAATTACATAATGTATGCAGATAATTACCCTTGTTATTCACATAAAATTTCCGGGTTATTTCTACTTAATGTACATTTATTTAGAGGTAGTACAATCTTAGCAGAAAGTACATGTCACATTAAACCAGTAATTGGAATGCTAAACTTTAAAATGTCAGAAGTCCAGACAGAAGGAAGTATAGTAATTAAGGAAGAAGACATTTGAAAGTGACTTAAAAATAAGAAGAATTTGTAGAGTATTTGAGAAATACCCAATTGGCAAAAGTGTGATCACATTTAATAAGATTTGAGTTTTATGAACAGCTGTTAATTAATTTTTCACACTCACTGTTCTAATATTTAGCAGGTTATATTACAATATATTATACTAAACAATAAAATACTTTTATTTATTCAGTGCTTTTTTATTTAAATATTGAAAACTATTTTCTAGATTTTTTATTTGTACTATATTATAAAATTTTGACTGTTTTCAGTTTTTATAAATTGTTCTATTATATAAGAAAATATTAAGGAACCATTTCAATGCTGTGTTAAGTTTAATATGTTTTCAAAAATTAAGACATATTAAAATGTTATTTACATGGTTCATCTGTGATGATTTTTGAAGTCATAAGTCAAAAAATTTATTTATTTATTGGTTTATGATTTTACACTCATAATTTAAAATAGATATTATACATACTTTCTTAATTAAATATATAATAGAAAATAATTTTATGCATGCAAATCCACTAACTTCACAGCTTACCAACTTTATATTCTGATACTAAATTAACTTCTTATCATGCCTTCAGGCCTTCGAGTTTAAAATTCAAATTATTAATGTCATAAATAAGTAAATGAATAAATAAACTATTCCTCACAGGAAACAATGTTTCTAAAAGGAAAAAAATCTTTTTTTTTAATCTTAACTCATTACAATGTTTACTGTGCAACAGATTTTCATTATAATATCTCTATACATTCATATAGTATACATTTAAAACAATAATTACTTCTCTATTAGTATTTATTTCACTCCTGCTTTTTCCATCTTGCTGTGGGAAACTTGTTTACACTATGTGAAGATGTGTCACAGTCAATGGTTTAAATAAAAACTGAATGGCCAATATTATGTAGGAGAGGTTATGGGGGGAACTTCCATGCAGAGAGAAGAATTTGGACATAATCTAAGTGTTAGGACTGGGCCGATGGCCCAGAGGTTAAACGCACAGGCTGTTCTTCCAGAGGTCCTGGCAGAAAGGCATATGTGCAGGTAGAACACTGTATTTGTAATGCATAAATAAATCTTTAAAGAAAGAATCTAGGTGCTTGAGAAACGCCAGGAAGATACAGAGAGAGGTGGACATACAGAATGAAAGACAGTTAAAGAACCACACGGCAAAATGTAGATTAATAGAAGCAGCTTAATTTGAGTTATAAGAGCTAGACGGACACAAACTTATACTGAAGGCCAAGCTTTCATTGTTAATAATAAATCTTGGTATCACTATCGTGTAGCTGGCGGTTCTAAAGACAGTCCTACTACAGTCTCTCTTTTTGTTTCTTCCCTTTGCTTCTCTCCTTCCCTCCCTCCCTCCCTCCCTCCCTGCATCCCTCCCTCCTTCCCTTCCTTCCTCCCTCCCTCCCTCCTTCCCTCCCTTCTAGCCAGACCCTTCCTCCTTCTACCCCACCCCTTTCTCTCACACACATATATTAAACAGCACACTTGACATTTATGCTTCTGGGATTGATTTATTTCACAAATATATTGATCCTTAATTCCATTCGTTTCCTGCAAATTTCATATTATGTTTTGCCAAGTAAAATTTCAGTGTGTATGTAGCACATTTTCTTCATTGGTGCGATGGTCAATGAGAATCTAGAGTGATTCCAGTACTTGGTTATTGGGAATAAAGTCACAATAAATGTGCATGCGCAGGACACTCTTTACCCTTTGGAGTAAGCATGCATAAATGGTGTATGTGGTTGTTATGACTGCTGCTCTCTCTCTTTCCATATACATACGTATGTATGTATGTATGTATGTATGTATGTATGTATGAATGTATCTGTCTGTCTATCTTTCTATCTATAACATAAATAGGACATAAAGTTTCTTTTCTTCTTACATAGTGGTAGAATTTGTTTTCTTGTTGAACTTAATTTTGGTCAGGATGAGACAAAATCTGAATGTAGTTTTGGTTTGTATTTCCCTGATGGTGGTTAATGATGTTCAGTAGATTAACTTTACTAGACTAATTTTAAGGTTATATTCTTTCTTTCTCATATTTGGTATTTTATTTTCTCATTCCTTATTTTTGTCTCTGTGGGCTTTCCAGATTCAGGATATAAAATTCACCATGACTCAAAATAACTGAAAAATGAAATATACCCAGTTTTCCAAATTTTCTGCTACCATCTCATTATTTTATATGCTTATTATATCAAGCTCTGTTTAGCATGCTCAATTTTAAGCTTATTGGTAATCTTTCATTTAATTTCAGCTTGCTTATTTAGTGATTAAATTCAACTAGTCACTCTTGATTTTGTGGTCATAATGAAAAATTATCTCTCATATTCTATGTCAAATTCTATGTCAAACAGGGCATTTACTAATTGTGATTCTTTTGCTTGTTCCAATTCTTCTCACTGCGTCCGTTCTGACAAGTGAAATTCCCACCTTTATAATGGACAGGTCTATTTTCTCACTTCCATGTCTACCATTACATACTGTTTATTCCCTTTTCTTCCCAACGCCATCTTCGTGGTTTTTATTTTTGTGGTTGTATATGTATATGTGTTACAAATGCCCAATGCTGTTCTCATACTCTGTTGTTCTAACTCTGCCTTGCTGTAATGGCTGCATTGTAGTAAATGGTGCTCTCCAAATGCTCCTCACATTATTTTGCTGTGATGTCTTCATTTATCCACATTCCTCACATATGTATTTCAGCTTCTGAAAAAAAAACATTCATCCATTATTCACCCTTATTTTCACATGCTTAGGCCTGTGAAAACCACAAGCTCAATATATAAAGACTTGTGCTTTACAAACAAATTTCTGAAACAAATTATCCTATTCCTGGTGATCATGCTGTCATTTGTCCTTGACAAAAAGCAACATGGAAAATAGAAATTGCTTTTTGCTCTGATACTAAAGTTTCTGCATAAACACATAGGCGGGCTTGCTGTGTTCTGTGTGCTTGTGAGAGAATGGACACGCATGAGCTCATCTAACATAATAAAATACGCTTTATGTCAATGTAATTCATAATTGCTTTTCAGATAATGACAATTGCTTTCAGATTTTCTTTCTTAAAGTCTTCACATGCCTTTTGAATGCTCAAAGATAAAAATAGTAACATTATTCATGTCTGGTACGGAGAAGTCTAAGATTAAGAAGCAAACACTGGAGCATTTGCTCTGTATTCCTCTTCATCAGCTACACATTTGCTTTCCTAAATTAGAGGGAGACGCAGGCATTATGTTTGTCAGCTGTTTAGGGCATTCCATCGCTCTGTAATATTAATCAGGTTTTTCTGGAGACAGCTAATGAGCAAGCTCAGTAATAACTTTTAAGTACCTGATGCTTTACTAATGGACAGAGAAATACAAATGGCACTAGAAAATTTTCCATTTCTCCTCTTCTTTGTTTTTGATTGCAAACTGTGTAATTATATGCAAAATGTACTTAAAGAGAATCTTTCCATTTCCAAAAAGAAAACTGTGATCTATCTAATGTACTGAATGGTTAAGAATAAATTTTCCTAATCTTTCTCTAAATTCCTAATTACACCTTTTTTTTTTTTTTTTTGCCTGTTAACTTCTCTGCTTCAAGATTAAGGTTAAGGGTGTGATCTCTCAACTTCCCACTCCTA